AGGGGTCTCCTGATTCGGTCCTATGGGGCCTTTGCTGCACCCGGGATCTGGGCCCTATGTCCAGAATTCCGGAAATGGGCACACTCTAGCTCCTCACCCTCCGCTTGTCCTCCTCCTCCGCAGTCGCTTAAGCCTGTCTGGTATGCCCGACGGTCACCGCTTGCTTTGTCCGTGACCTTCCCTACTGGATTTGGACCCAATGGGCGACTGTTTGATTGATGTCTTTCTTTATTATCCATTTCATGCTATAGGCACAGTGCCTGGAGCCTAAACTTTGAAAAATATGGAATCTGAAAAAAAAAAAAAAAACCCACAAAAACCCAACAACTTGACTACAAAATGTGAGAAGAGAACTATGAAATAAAAAATTGAAATGTTTGGCCGTTTCCAAAATATAACATGTCAATGAGTCAAATGCCACTTTTATATAAAAATTACACGTAGTTTCCAAAAGTAAGCATGCCTATAAAGGTCTTAAGATAGTCCTCACCTAGATTTCCTCAGCTTCTTGTCCTTCTCCGCACCTCCCTGGCTCAGAATCTGCTTTCTCCACTCCCGAGTGCTGCAGCAAGTTACAAAAGCCGTGCAGACTTGGGTTCGCTATATATTCTGGCTCTGATCTTTTTGTCAACCCTCCCTGCTGCCTGGTGATGCTTTGCCTCATCTCTTATTCATGCTCTATCGTATTTCCCATGGTAGGTTTTCCAAGCTTCCCTTGTCTAAGAAGTGCTTTATAATTTACGTGTGCCTTATCTCATTTAATCTTTCAACAACTCTATGAGGAAAGTCTCAAAGAAGTCTGGTGGCCAGCCCAATGTAACAACTCTGTCTTATGATGCCGCGTTTTAAGATTCTATCCCAGCCACCTCTGCCGTTTCCTTTTCTAGCTTCTTATGCATCTAATCCCTTATATACTCAGCAGATAACTGCCTTTAATTAAGTGAGAAAGCAACTCCCTCACTTTACACTTAAAAATCCATGATTCGTCACACCCCCTCCCATACCTCTCCTTACTACCTTTCTTCTATTCCAAGGTTAACCCCACAAGACTTTTGTTCCGTATCCCAACCTCTCCCACCTACTCAAAACCTTGCTGCTCTTACATTTTCTTTTTTTATTTTTTTTTGTGAGAAAGATTAGCCCTGAGCTTACATCTGTGCCAATCCTCCTCTTTTGTATGTGGGCTGCTGCCACAGCATTGCTTGATGAGCAGTGCTTAGGTCCACACCTGGGATCCGAACTCGTGAACCCTGGGCCGCCCAAGTGGAGCACGCAAACTTAACCACTACACCACCAGGCCGGCCCCTCCTACATTTTCAATCAGTCCTTTCCTAGCATATTCTTCTGCCAAGAATTATGATCAAGTCCTCAAGGGGGAAACAAACGCCCCTTGAATGAGCTGCCTTTCAACTTACTGACCTTTGTGACTCTCACCACCACGTTTCTCAGAAGAGTGGTCTCAGTTTCTGCTTTCATCACCATCTTCACTTTATCATCATCACCACCCATTTTTTTCCTCCCCCAAATAAACTTTCAGATCCTCTTTCCTACTGAGATTTTTCTCTTGTAGATCACAAGTGACCGTGTCTTTGGCCTTTTCTCACTACATGGTCTCTTTAATACCATTGTTATGTACTTCCTCATCCTTAAATTTGCTTCTTCCTTGATTTCTGAAATACTATACTCTCTGGGCCTTCTAATCTCTTGGGCTGCTTCTCACACTCTCCTTCCTCCACTTTGACCCCTACCTTTTCTCCCTACATTTCCTCTGATGCAGATGATTCCTAGATCCACGTTTTCAGTACTGACCACTCCCCCAAGCTGTGGTCACAACCATCTATTATAAATCTGTACCCAAATGTGTCCCCATCACCTTAAGCTCCACATATCTTAAACTTTATTGAACTTCTTTGCTCACTAAACTGTGCTGAATGTTCCTATTTTATTCTCTCGAGGATGTCATCATTCTCCTTTCTCTCCAGCTTCAAACCTTGTAGTGCTTCTGGCCTCCTTTCTCTTTTTCCATATCCAGGCAGGTACCAATTTCTTTCCATCCCCACTGCCAACACCTTACTGCATAGAACTCTAGGATGATATAGAACTTTATTATCCTCACCTCAAGTATTACAATAGTTTCAGAATTATCCCTGCCCTCCATTTTTTTTCCCATTGATCCTACACAATTTTTCCACATTAATTGTAAAAACATATAAAAATGTGGTATAAGCTAGTCTTCATTCTAAAAGCTTCAGTAGCTCCCTATCTCCATAGAATAAAATCTGGATTCCTTAATAGATTCATAAAACTGGCCTTTTAGTTATTCCCTAAACATTACCAAGCACGCTTCTTGGTCTTTGCCAATTTTGTCTGCAGAATTCTTCCACCTTTACTATTTAAACCTACCCCTCCTTCTGTGTCAGACTGCTTGACACTACCTCCTTGAAACTTTCCCTGTTATTCCAGGGCTCCAGATTTGAGCTCTAATACCTCTTCAGCCTATACTTTTCACTTTGCAGTGTGTGTTGCATTGTAGTATTGTGTTTTTTTATTATATATGTACATGTATATATGTGTGCATGTGTATATGTATACATATATAATATCTGTATATATATATATATGCTCTACACACATGCATGCACATACACACACAAATATATATTCTTTGTCTATTAAGATGAAAAACCCTTGGCAACCAACCTAGTGCCTACATGGTAGACATCTAATAAAGACTTGTTATTGATGAGGCAGGGAATGGTGATCTCTAATAAGGAGAAAAAATAGGACTACACGTAACCAAGAGTTTTGTGGATCATGCAGACCATAGTGATGTGGGGTGAGATCATGAGAGAGGATTAGTTAAAGATTCTCTTTTCCCTGAATTAGTTCAGTGTTTTGTTCCATGCTCACATACTGCTTCATCTTTCTGGAGACCCAGGCAGCAAATAGTTACAGGGAAGTCCAAAAGTCATGGGATCAGAGGAACAGGATCAATGAAAGTGACCAGGTCCATCAAGGTGTCTAAAGAGTTTTAGTCCACCCCTGCAGCCCAAGCCAAAAAAGTACCAAAGGCAAGAAGGCCAGGAAGGGAGGATGACCCATCAGAAAATCAGGCAGGTCTGGATTGGATATTTTGCTTGATCAGCACCACCAAACACTGAGGGAACATATAGAAAGTGACCCAGGGAGCTATGTCAGACTTGTCTTTCACCATTACACCTGTCTCCATCACTTACCATCCTTCCTCCTTCCTCGTTTTAAAGGAAGGAGAATCCTTTCTCCTGAGACCTGTACTCTGAAGCCCAGCTTCATCTGCCTCCTCCCTCTCCTTTCTGTCTTCATCCTCTCCTTTCTGGTGGATCTTTCTTTCAGCTCATACCCATGCTTAAGTCTCTCCTTCGTGCCCTATGCCCTGCTCTAGCTCCTGATTTCTCTCTGCCTCTTAAAAAGAATGGTCTACACCTATTTCTTTAATTTTTCTTCTTGCATTTATCCCTAAACACAGTACAATCTGGCCTTAGCTCTCACCATTCCTCTGGAATTGATTTGACAAAGTCACCGGGCATCAACTTCCTTGGAATCCTTCACTAACCAAGTCTTTATTAGGTGCCCCTCTATGTGCTACCTATGGTACTGTGTGATGACCTCTTTTAAGTCTTTCACATTCTGCATTTCAATTTTATACTTGCTTATCTGATTCTGTCTTCTGCCCTCGCTGCACCCTTTCCCTCCCACAGTGAGAACTCTTAAGGACAAGGGACCATGTTTTATTTCTGTATCCCTAACATTGGGCACTGTGTCTGAAACACAGTATGGTTTAATAAATGTTTGATGAGTGAATAAATGGCTGACTCTCATGTTTAATTTCTAAGAAACCGATTATAATGACAGGACAGATGACTAGAGAAATTTATTGTTTATTTCAGATAGATGATTTTTGCCTTCTGAGTTTTTTTGAGCCTCATTCCTAAAACACAGAGTCTTTAGTGCCATCTAGTGGGAGTAGCTGCAATAAAAAGCTATACTAATAAAGCTTGGGCAGTGCACACTTCTGTGGTGTTTTGTTTATTTTGAACTGAGACAGATAGAGAAGGGAGAATTTGGTTGCATTTCGTTATGGGTGCTTTGATTTTTATCTATAAATTCAGTGTACCCTAAGGTGATTCTAATCGTGAGATCTAACAAGTATAAATAGTCCCTTATAACTGGTATTTTGTGATAAACGACAACTCTTCAACTTTGAGAAGGTATAGGATGAAATGACTAGAATGATCTGAGCTTTGGAGGTCTCCTCGTGTAACTGCCTTTAGGTCGGATTGGACTTAACAAGACATAAATTTCTTTATTACTTAATGACTTACCCTTTCAGAAAAAATTCTCCACTGTCTTATCCAAGATCTTCTAGCTCTTCTCGCTTGACTCTTTGTTGTCTGACCAAATACCCTGCCATGATGCCAGACATCCTGTAGTTGATGTAGTCAGGAAGCTGCATCCAACCTTAATTGGTTTGGCACAAGTATAAGCTATTCTTCAGCTACTTACACTTTATTGCACACTCTATTCATCTATTTCTGTGAATTCCTTTTTCTGTGTTTATCAAGTAATAAAGCTCATTATTAATCTTTTTTGAAATGTGTTTTAAGAAGTACCTGATACATTATATTAATGTATTTATTTTAAAAATTAATGTGAATAAATGCTTTGTGATTACCTTATCTTTTATATAAATTTATCTTCTATATAGAATATACATAATTAAATAAAATGGGTAATAATATAAAGAAAATGGCACATTTAGAGACTGGATTTTGTGTTGTGTATGACAATAATTCTCGTGATTAAAATTAGAGCGGCAGTTGTGGAGTGCTCATACTGTTGTATTAGAGAATGGATCATAAAAGGCATGTTTTGCACTCTTTATAATATTGCATTATAATTTAACATATGCTATTTTTTTCTCTTAGGATTCTTTTGTTATTTATATTTAATGAGAATGTCACCTTGCAAGATTAATCATGAAAATCTTATTTAGAAGAGCCCCTTTATCTGGAATATGTTTGCCCCAGTATCTTCATGGCTTGCTCGCTACCAGAATGGTAAGTCTTTGAGGGCAAGGACTATTGTCTATTGAGTTCTCTGTGTATCCACAGTATCTAGATGCATGCCTGGCCCATAGTTAGAGCCCCAGAAATATTTAGTAAATGGATGTATGAGCAAATTGAGGCACAGCTAGGTAAAGGCATTGACCTAAGGTCACACATGAAGTTACTGGAAGAATTAGGGCAAGAATCCATGTCTTCTGACTCCCACTCTGTTGAGTGGTTCAATATAACACCTTGTCTCCAATCAGTACTACTTTTACATCCAGGCACCTGGGTTCCTTACCCTGGGCTCTTTGCTTTGAAAGGACCCACCCTGGCCCTTCTTCAGTCGTATCCCTTCCCAGAGGCCAAGGAATTCGAAGAGTACATCTCTCCCCACTCCACCTCTCCACTCCCCAATACACGCATTCTAGACTAGGTTCTAGCTACCAGAGGCCCTGAAATTCCTTGACAAGTAGCCAGAGGTCCACTTCTAGGGCCTATGCAGGCTCTTCTTCAGGTGTGGACAGCATAAGTGTCTGCACACCTAGGCCTCAGGAGCGGTCAAAGGGCAGCTATTGGGGGTGGTGGAGCTTGATCAAGTTTGTTGGGGTATCCACACACGTGTGTGAGGCTGCTCCATTGGGTGGGAAGAGAAGAAGAGACCATGGGCTGGATGCCTTTGTTTCTTCTCTTGTTCATGGAGCCTCAAATGTTAGGGGCAGACCTTCCTCCATAATAAATCTGGTTTTCCCCACAAAAGTATTTTCTCATTTAAATGTTATCCTTACTTTAGAAGGCTCACAAGTGACTTGCCTAAGGACCCACAACCAATAGGGTGCAGAGTTAAATGAGTAACCAGTATCCTCAGGAAGTGTTAAGTGCTCTACACTTACCAAAACACTAATATGTGTGTGTGTGTGTGTGTGTGTGTGTGTATACATACATACATACATACGTGTGTATATGGATATTTTTTTGTTGAGAAAATAATGTTTGATAAAAACATACGAACAGTTTAAATGAGTGTAAATAAACAGTAAATCTCCCATGCCAGGCCCCAAGTCAGAGATAACCAGTTAACAATTTTTTTTGTTAAAAACACACATATATTTTAAAACTTAGCACCAACAATTTTTGAAATTTTTTATTTGGAAAACTTTAGGTATAAGGTATATACAAGTAGAGAGAAAAGTATAATGAACTCCCAAGTACCCATTACTCAGCTTCACCAGTTAACAGAACTCTGTCATTCTTTTTCATGTATTTCCCCAACTTTTAGTTTTATTATGATTTTTCTTTGTTGGAGTATTTTAAATCAAATCCCAGATATCATATCATTTTATTAAATTGTATTAAGATTATATTAAGATACTTGTGTGAAAATGTTTAGATGTAAAATATTTTGATTTTTCATGTAGACTTCTTAATTTAAAAAAATGCCATATAGGGCCAGCCTGGTGGCATAGCGGTTAAGTTCGTGCATTCTGCTTTGGCAACCCGGGGTTTGCTGGTTCGGATCCTGGGCGTGGACCTACTCACCGCTCATCAAGCCGTGCTGAGGTGGCGTCCCACGTAGAAGAGCTACAACTCCACAACTATGACACACAACTATGTACTGGGGCTTTGGGGAGAAAAAAGAAAAAAAGAAGATTGGCAACAGATGTTAGCACAGAGCCAATCTTCCTCAAAACGAAAATGCCATATATAGTTAAATACCAATTTTATTTTATTTTTTAATTTCCTCCTTCATTTCAAAGAGGATTCAGATGGGAGTTAGGCATTTAATAATGATTTTTTTGACTATAAATAAAACTAATATGTATGCATTCTGCTTTATGTCATGCTGTTTTCTTTGCAGGATTCTCTGGGACTGAATATTTTTTTTGTTATAGTTGGTCCACTTTCTGTTTTTTTTCTTTCTCTTCTGGAAGAGCTGTTGAAAATGGTAGGCAAATAAATGCCCTTTTTTCCCTCACTTCTCTGAGTGATAGAACCTGAAAATTATGAGTATAGAAGGGCAGACTATGATTTAACATAGTGCCTTTTCTAATTCAAATGATAGCTAACTTTTCCAAGCTAAAGTGCACCCACATCTTGGTAATAGCATTTAGAGCATGAGTAGATTATAATATATCGTGGCAAATAGAGAAGTCTATACATTAGTTCCAGGAATGTTGCTAAGAAATATAAATAAATAACGTTCCTAGTTGCAAGGAAATATAAATAATCCCCAACAACTAAGGCAAAGCCTAGTTATTTGTTTCTGTAGTGACAGCAACTACTTTTTTCTTAAGTATCTGTTTTCTAGGTAGCATTTATATCTGTACTGAATTTTAGTAAATTCTTCATTTTTTTGCACAGTGTGCAGGACCTGAAAGCTTCTTCTCCTGTTATTAATAAGGAGTCCATGGTATTTTCAGGAAACTCTGCTGTGATGAATCCCTTCTATTCTTCAGTGTGCCATGCCTCTCTTTTAGACAGAGTCCCATCAAGAAAATCTTTGGATTGATGCTATCTGGAGGGCTGGACTGGGGAAGGGGCGTGCAGGGAGGATGCTCTTGAATATCTATATGAGAGGAGCTGAGAGGCAGCAATCTGGGTGGAAAGAAGATTCAGAGATTTGTTTGTAAGCTGCATTTGCATATCAAAAAAACTTTTTCCTCCTATCTATATCTAATGTGGCTTCGTGTTGCCAGTGCTCTAGGCTTGCACTGTCCAATATGGGAGCCACAAGCCATAGGTGGCTTTTGAGCACTTTAAATGTGGTTAATCCAAATTAGAAATGGTGTAAGTGTAAAATACATGCTGATTTTCAAAGATTTATTATGAAAAAAGAATGTGAAATATCTCATTAATAATGTTTTATATTGATTGCATGTTGAAATGATATATATTGTAAATATATATATATTTAAATATAGACTTTATTTTTTAGAGTGGTTTTAAATTCACAGCAAATCTGAGCAGAAAGTGCAGAGAGTTCTCATATAGCCCCTTTCCCCACACATGCACAGCCTCCCTAACCATCAACATCCTGCACTAGGGAGTTACATTTTTTAAAATCGATGAACCAACAATGACACATAATTATCACCCCTAGTTCATAGTTTACATTAGGATTCACTCTTGGTATTGTACATTCTATAGGTTTTGAGAAATTTATAATGACATATATCCATCATTATAATATCATACAGAGTAGTTTCATTGCCCTAAAAGTCCCCTGTGCTTCACTTACTCATCTCTTCCTCCCCCCAAACCCCTGGAAACCCCTCATATTCTTACTGTTTATAGTCTTGCCTTTTCCAGAATGTCATATAGTTGGAATCATACAATATGTAGCCTTTTCAGATTGGCTTCTTTCACTTAATAATATGCATTTAAGCTTCCTCTGTATCTTTTTGTGGCTTGATAGTTCATTTCTTTTTAGCACTGAGTAATATTCCAATACATGGATGTACTACAGTTTATTTATCTAAAAGTAATAATATTTTACTAAAAATCTATTGAATAAATCTATTATTAAAATTATTTTCACTTGTTCTTTTCTACTTTTTAAATGTGGCTTCTAAAATAAAGCTATAAAATAAAGCTATATGGACTGCTCACATTAAATTTCTACCAGACAGCACTGCTCTAGACCTTGGTAAAATGGTGTTATTGGTAGAGTTTATCTTCAATACAACCTTCTCATTCCAATACCTGCCTAAGTTTTGCTGCCTCCTGCAAAGAGTATTCTCCTTCTCCAGGACTCGCCTGCCTTGGTTTGGTTGCCCCCAAACTACTTGGGATTGCCATGCTTCTCCCCCAACCCCTCTCAACAGAGACTTATGTTATCTAATTCATTCTGTCAGGACCAGGTGACAGTTGACTGATTAGGTCCTTTACTACTGTACTAGGTTTTCTGGAACATATAAATATGGTGTCTGTGGCCAAGTGGCTTACAATAAAAAAGTTTTTCTTAGAAGAGCTGAAAGAAAACAGTAGGAATTAAAAACTTTGTCTTGTTAGAAATCATAGAATTTATCTTACTTTATGTCAGTGATTAGTATAGTCATATCATTTCTAAAAACTAACTGGAATAGAGTTTATTCTATTATAATCTAATCTATTCTTTTTTTGTGTGTTAGATCTGTTTATCTCATGCCTTCTCAATGGGAGTGATATTGCCTGTAAGGGGGCAAAATTGGTTCTTGGGATATGAAAAAAATCATACTCTTTTAATGTAAAAATCATATACATACAGTACAAAGCCAGATAGATATACAGTATATCTGTGTATTAAAGTTTTCTGAGGGAGGCAATTAGAAAAAAATGTCTGAAAATGTTCCTTAGGGAATTGGTCATGAGAAACAGGTTGAGAAATGCTTGTTTATCTGGACTAGGTATTCCTAGAGTGTGCACATAACAGAATGTTTTTGTGACTAATTAATCTCCAAAATTTCCTAAGGAAGGAGAGGAAGGAAAAATAGAGGAAAGATATAGAAAGGTTTACATTTACAAGTTGGGGGCAAGGGAGCATTTGAGGAGTGTTAGAAATCTCTACCACCAATTGTTAACATTTTGCCAAATTCATTCATTCATTCTCTCCTCCCGCGTCCTGTATTATCTAGGTGAAGAGTATATAGATATTTATTGCATTATTTTTTCAAGTGTTTTCTAGGTGTGAAAATTTTCAAAATAAAAGTTGGGCTAAAATGCCATCCTTCTCCAAACCCTATCTCTACCTACTCCTATACCCCAATTCTACATTGGGGCCCTATTGAACCACAATTTCTTGGTAACATGTTTTCTCTCCCCTTTGGCCTTTTGCATATATTGTTCCCTCTGTCTGGACCTATCATCTGGCCTCCCCTTCTTCCTTCATACACAGCCTTTGCCTGAATACCTCCCAGAAATCTTTTAAGGTTTCACTTCCTCCAGGAACCTTCCATGACTACCCAGTCCTACTCAAGTCTAGGTTAAGAGTCCTGAATATATTCTCTTTATTGTGATTGTCTTTATTATTGCCCTTTTTATATAATATTATACTTGCACATTAAACTTGTCTGTCTTCACTGGACTGTGAGTTCCTTAAAGGCAAGGATTATGACTTATTTTATTCATCTTTTTGTCCTCTGCAATAACCATAGGGCCTTGTACAATATTTATTAAATAAAGCAACAATTAATTTTTCTATGAGATGCATATTTGTTTTAAATAATTCCATTTAAAAGGAAAAAATAAAGAAAACCTTGATCTTTTATTTAGTTTGTAAAGCTTTACTGCTGATAACAGTATAATTTCAGGTTAGACTTTTAAAAAGATTAAAAATAGCTCCCAGATCTCTATTATTACCCCTGTGAAACTCTTGGTGAAATGTCCCTGACAATCTCAGGAAAAAATCTTGGTTGGTTGTTTCTCTCAGCTTCAGCAGAGCTCTATTTCTGCCTCTCTGTTATAGCATTCTGGGGGTGGAGTGGGGAGATATGAAGACAGGAAGCAAGGGTATTGTTTTTCAGGAGTTTGGAGTTTAGTGAGATTAGTATCATGATTATTATCGTGATATAATCATTACTATCATGATTAGTATCATTAGTGATGCTAATAGTTTTTCCTTACATTTGTATCTTTTTATAGGTTATGATGCAATTTCACATAATTTATTTCTCACAAAAGTCCTGTGAAGTAGGTATTATTAACACTATTTTAATGATGCTGCTAATAAACGGCAGAATGTGCTATGAAGGTAAGAGAGTCTCTTTTTTATTTGTTAGATTTTAGGCATTTTCCCTATGTCTGGGGTCCACCAGTTTTAAATCTACAGCCCCTCACTAAATTCTGCACCTTTCCTTTTACATAAAATTATGTAGGTATAACCCAGGCTGCAACTTCACCCTTCACCAGCAGAAACTCCTCTCTAGTGAATGATGTACTCCAGAATGAAAATTCCTCAAGTGAAATGCATGAGATTAGGTAAGATCAATTGTTTTTCTAAGTAAGCAAATCTTTAGATATATAATTCTATACGTTAAGACAAAGGCTATTATTGCAGCTATATAAAATATGTGTGTAGTGAACAAAGACTGGAAGGGCATGCACAGACATGGTAATTATTATTAAGGTGGTGGATTTAGGAGTAATTTTTTTCTCTGTAAATTAAAAATTGTCTTTAATTTTTAGAGTATGTACATACCCAAGTTCTTTTTTTCACATTAATTAAGGAAAGCTAAGGGTCACCTATCTTGAGTCCTACTAGATTCTTGAACAATTTAACCCACTAGCTGAGTACCTGTTTCCCTCTGTTTTCCCATCTCCCATCAAGAACATCTCCTTCTCATCTCCGCTTAAGAACATGCATAGAACTTGGCCGGAATCATTGGATCAGACCACAGCATCATGCCACATTGGCCGGGAAAGACTTATTCCTCTGTTTCTTAACTCAATCACTCTTCTATTGTGAATCAGGCCTAATGAATTCTTGCTTTTCCCCTCCTGAAGCAAATTACTTTGTTCAGGAGAGGTCACATTTGTATTCCCATCTGCCTCAAAGAGGTGGATCTTTCTTGGATCAAAAATCAAAAGTCAAAATGAAACTGGAGGCAGTAAGATTAGTTTAGAGGTTAGGCAATTGTTCACTCGAGAGAAGATGCTGAATTAAGTCAGGAACAATAAGAATGAAGAGGAGTAGATAGATTATGGAGGCATTTTGCAGTTTAATTGATGACCAATTAATTACGACTTGTTAGGGGTCAAAGATAACTCTGAGAGCTCTAGCTTGGGTGACTTGAATAGACCCTACTACTCACAAAATGAGTTTGTTTTGGATATGTTTAGAATGAGATAACTTTGGAGGTGCTTGGTTAGTAGCTGGGAACATGTCTGGATCAGGAGTGAGTGATGAAAGCTAGAAATAAAAATTTAGAATCATCAGATTTTTTTTTGTAAGTACCAAAAATGTATTGATCTTTTGGTTAAAGTGAACTTCTTCCTTTAAATCTGCTCCATAATATATGTTTGAGACATTTTTACTGTTTCCATACTGTTAGCGATAGGATTCTGGAACTATCACTCCCCTATTCGCCTAGGGAGCAACTGAGTACCTGAAGCGGAGAGGAAAGACTTGATCATCTAGCGAACTCAGAAGCTATCTGTGCTTTGGGAATAAGAGACTGGGAGTGGTCTTCAAACGACAATGAAGAACCTAGAGATCCACTTTACGGCCCTTTCTGGCATGTAACTGCAGAAGATTTTTTTGTTTTTGTTTTTAAGTCACTGCTTGGGCCCTATAGCAAATGTGAGTGGAGTCCTGCAGGCCTCTTCTTTCCACACCTGGCAGGAAGCTGGTGCATTGTGGCCAAGCTCTTAAAGTTGGTTACTCTTTGTGCTGCCATTTCAACTGACCAGTAGTCCAATGACATTTATATGTGGTGAGGATTGCCTGACCCTCCCTACAATGGCTGGTAGTTAGGGAGTGCGATTATTCTTTTTCCTTGACTGAGCAGGTACACATCTGGAGGGCCCTGGAAGCCCTTGGGTGGGGGATCAGCCTAATACTAGCTCCTGAGCTTTGGGGGATCCCCTTTCTAACAAGGCCATTTCCTCAATTGGGGGCTTCCATAGCATCATAGTTGCCTACTCTTCTTTTCCTACAAATATATAGAGCATTACTATGGGAAAGGGTCATTCTCTATTGTAATGGGGGCAAGTGACCACTCTCTATGTCAATGTTTGGCCCTGATGAGTGCAGCACAGCTATGCCCAGTCTAAGCATACCACTGTAACAAGAGCTCAAAGGATAGCCCTGCTCCTTCAAATCTACTTGGAAGTTTTTACCCAAATAAGCCCTCTTTTATGTATATTATGTAGTGCTAGGGGTATGTTTGTGTCCCTTTTGCATGACTTTCGCCAACACAGATGTTTTCAGTCTTCAGGGACTGCAAAAAGGATTTTAGTGAGAAGGAAAGAAAAAAGAAGAAAGCTATTTTCCATCCTGAGAGCCCCAGGACAAAAAATGATTGTAACCTACCTCTAGCCCAAAGGCAGCCTTGTATTTGGCAATTTAGTGTAGTCACATGGAGCCAAACTGCACCTATCACTCAGTTCTCCTCCTTTGAAGATTAGACCCACACTGGTTTTGTTTTTCATCTTTTCATGCTTGATGGTCTTTTGTAACATTCAAAATAGTAACCTGTGGTTTGGGGAGGCCATTAGCCAATTCAGTTCCCTTAACAGCATCCACCTGCTGAGCCATTGTGCTCCAGTCTTCAAGTGTCCTCTGACCTGGTTTGAATCGGTAGCTATTTGGACAAGGGTTTCTCTTGTGTCCCAACTGTTCAAACATTAAACATTTATTCTTGGTCAAATAGGGAGGAAAAAAAGCAAGTTGTTCATATCTTTCCTTTTATGGTTGCCTTGATAGTCATTTGCCCTGCCCAACATGTGTACTTAATAATAGCTAATTTTTATTACTTCCTTCGTATGTGCCAGTGTTATGGACTGAATTGTGTCCCCCAAAATTCATATGTTGAAGTCCTAACCCCCAGTATACCTCAGAATGTGACTGTAATTGGAGATAGGGCCAATTACAGTAAAGAGGTAATTAAGGTTAAATGAAGTCATATGGGTGGGCCCTAATCCAATATGACTGGTGTCCTTATAAGAAGAGGAAGAGAAACCAGGGATGCTTGTGCAGAGAGAAAAGTCCATGTGAAGACACAGCTAGAAGGTGTCCATCTGCAAGCCAAGAAAAGAGGTCTCAGGAAAACCAAACCTCCTGACACTTTGAATTTGGATTTCTAGCCCCCAGAACTGTGAGAAAATAAATTTCTGTCATTTAAGCCACCACCCAATCTGTGGTATTTTATGTCAGTCCTAGCAAACTAATACAGTCAGGCAATGTAATAACTGCTTTTTATGAATTATCTGTTTAATAGTCTCAGTTACCAAATGAGGCAGGTACTGTTGAGACAGGGACTCCCATTATAATTTTTGCCCGTAGTACCAACTCTGTTCAGAGGATGCTCAGGTACTCTGGCTCATAAATGGGTGAGGTGGGGAGAGGAATTAAATGGAGCCAAGCTTTTTCCTGACACGTGTATCTCTCTATCCTAATTGTGTCTAACTGTGCTTACTCCTTGGTCATTACATTAAGGGAGAATGGTAATACCCTGATTTACACCAGGGCAAATTCTTACAAGAGTTTATTTATTGAACCAGTAAGTCCTTTCTGATCATTCACTGTTCATTTCTAATTTTTTCTTCTATTTTGTTCTCTTTCTTACCCATCTCCAGGAAATAGCTGGGTAAATATATTTGCATATAACTGTCTTTTTCCTTTCCTAGATATACTGGTTAAAATTGTAGGTCTCAAAAGTTATCAAAAGTTTAGAAACAGAGACAAGTATATATAAGAACATGCAATATAATAAAATATTTTAAAAAGTCAGTGGAAGTAAGGATGAGTTAATTAATAAATAATATTGGAGAATCACTTGAAATAACAATTGTTAACTCTCTTACTTCACAGATTATACCAAAAATTAATTTCAGATGGAGTAAAGATTTAAATGTTAAAAAAGAAAGATGGAAGTATTAAAATATAAAGATCAATATTTTTATATAATCTAGAGGGGCAGAAGGCATGTCTAAACATAAGTACTAAAAGAAGAAATAAAAATGGAAAACTTGATAGATTTGATAAAAGCAGTGTGGTTGATCATGGCAGAGTATCCGGATAGGACCATCTGTGATCCAGTGCTCAATATTAGTGGATTCAAGGAAGAATTTATAGTAATTAAATCTGTTCTTTCCAGGTATACTTGAGGGCAAATAACAAGGAACATATAAGCTGGTCTCAGGAGACATTTTGGATCACCTGGTAAAGACTTCACCTCAGCAGATTACAACCGTCTTCTGAAGTCTTGGAGATAGTCCCCAAGGAACTTGTCAGGACCACAGCAAGGTGGTGTCCTTAGAGTGAGTTAGGAGGAGGCTTGCAATTTTACTGCCAGCCTGTTTGTGAGTCAGGGAAGGGCTCTGGTGGAAAATGCCCAAGTGTAACTGGGGAAGCATTGCAGTCTGCTCCAAGGAGAGGAGCCATCCTCCTTACAGATGGCTGAAGATCTTCATGAGCAACAAAGTTGAAAGTTCCCAAAGAATCCTCATATTTTAATTCATATAATAACATGATAGCCAATATTTATATAATGTTTTGAACTTTTATAGCACTTTTACCCATGACCATACTCTTTCAGAAATAGTATGGGGTGTGATGATGGATTTGAGTTTGAATTCTGGTTCAACCTATTGCCTATGTGATCTTAGGTAGGTTACTTAACCTCTCAGGACCTGTTTTCTCCTCTGTGAAATGGCAATAGTGCTCTGGTCAAAGTGATACCCACTTTATAGGATAAGGATTGAGTGAGACAAATGCCTAGTATGACATTTGACACATAGGATGCACTCAGTTTCCTTTCCTTCTCTAAATGTGGTTATTTGCATCAGTGGAGCTCAAACTTCCACGATAGTTACATGTTTATGAAGGTAACATTTTCTCTTCAAATATGTCTCATGTTACACAGTGGTTCTTAACTCCAGCAATGGGGGTGGAGGTGGTGATGTCTGTATTGTTAAAAAGCACCTGCATCTCCCCACTCCCTCACTGAGAAACACTGGTCTACACTTTGTTACTTTAAGTATTTCTCACTAGTTTGATATTTTCACTCAGCTTTATTTCAGTGGAGTAAGGATTTTCCTCCATGGGAGGGCAATACATTAAGCTAATGAAAAATGTAGTCGATAAATTACCTTCTCATGTGTAGCTAGATGCCAGGGAGCATTTTTTTCTTGGGGTTGGGCATTAAGGGAAAGAATGGTGGAAAGACTGAGGGTGCTCAGAGCCTAGAGGAGGGTTGACTGGGCCATATGGGAGAAAATGGAAAAAAGGGAAGGTGAGAGGAACTAAAGACAACTGTCATTTTTCTCATAGATCCTCATTTTGTAGTCTCTGCCTTGGCTTCTTCTGGGGCACCTACCGCCTCTTAATAGAAACTGCTATCTTTATGCTGTAACTCTGTCACACTTCTAGTCTTAGCTGCCCTGAGTAGGAGACCTGGACCCACCGCTTGAGTCATATATGACTACCTGAGCCAACTCATCAAACTCATACTAAGTACCATAAGGTCTCAGAATTTTATCTGTCAAAATGTAAATAGTTCTCCCTATCATGATATATGAATGGTTGCAAATAAAGTTTGGTAACTGCAAATGCGGAGGGCAAAGAGAAAAGAAATGGTCTCAATCTGCTATGAACCACTCACAGGCTAGATTAACTGAGCATCACTTTTGGCTTATTCTAAAGAAGGGATATAGGACCAAGTTATCCATAAAGTTCTTATCTGAAGTATTTAGAGTTTTGGGTAAGGGACCTTAAAGTTGAAAATAGTAAGGATACTTCTTAGGCCAGGCAAGTAGATTTGAACTGAAGAGATAAGACAGTGCTGAAGGTCAAGTTATGACTTTGAGAAGACACAGGCATGTCATTATCTGGGGGAGCCATGCCTGTCACTAGACACGGGGGCTCCTGCAGTGATAACTACAGACCTCCCCTCTAGGCTGTGACTTAACTGCTTTGGCCCAGCAGATACCATCAGTAAATAAGGGCTCTTGGGAGTATCTGCTTGACCCTCTTTTTTAAGAGTAAACTTCCAAGGGCTGGCTGGGCCCCTATCCTTATTTTGTCGTCATCTTCAAGGGAGTCCAAGTGCACAGTAATGAAGAACAATAGACAAAACTGTGTGTGATTTTGTGCTAAATTGCGTATATAGACTGAAGAAGAGAGTAAAATCATGGTGCGTAGGACCACTCAGAGACAGCTTCATGGGGAAAAAAGAATTTTTACTTGAGGGTAGGTAGAATTTAAAGAAAGACAAGAGAGAGCATAGCTAACATTCTGTTTTTGTGACTGTTAATTTTCACTCATGGCTTCCATATTGAATCTCATGAAGATAATTGATGTGAAAGAGGAAATAAGACAAGGTTAGAAGAAGCAAGGAGCTCAGGCACATAGTAAGACAGTCTGAATTAGAGTAGCCAGTTGAATGTGTGGAGACTTCACCAGCTGGAGAGAGATTGGGAATTACAAATTTCAATAGAACCAAAGTACACCACATATACCATCAGGCAGAAGTCTTATTATGCAATAATGACCCCCTGCACACCCTGTCTCCCTATTAACAATGCACAGATTGAGGTCACTGTACACTTAAAACCAATCTTCATATAACACACTTAAAACCAATCTTCATATAACCTGGGTAGAGCTGGTAGCCAACACTTTACCTTGAAGTTTAACTTGTTTGTTCCCTCAAATATGTTAATACTTCTGAAATGTTTTAGCCTTTGGCATCTAGATTTGAGCTTCCCCAGATATTTGTGGTGTACATTATATTCTGGTCCTTGAACTTCAGCTGATACGACGCATCTGTTGTCTAATGCATCTGCTGTGTGCTCATGGACAAGGCCAAAGAATTAACCTGGGTTGGGAGTGTTTATGCTGTCACAGTTTGCTTTCTCAATTTGGTTCATCATTATTCTTTTTTTGTGAAAGGCCTATTGGGACCAAGCTGAGAATGCAGCAAAGAATCCCTTGGGAATTTGCCGTTTGGCAATGAAATTTTCTATAGATTTTATCCCTCCACCAACTACCAGTGTGATTTTTGGCAAGTTATATAACATGGGGATAACCAATTACCCACACTTCACCCTGGGCCTCTGGGTCTTCATCTGAAAAGTGAAAGGACTAGGAAAGATGATTTTGAGGTTCTTCCACTTCTAAGATTTGAGAATTTGATAATTCCTGAGTAGTAAAAGTCAGATTTTTTTGACACTAGAGCAATGGGTTTGTCCATCTATATGTATTGTCCCACATTTATCTGCCTCAAGCCCACTGTCACCACTTATTTTTCCAGGTGGAGATATGCGAGGCTGGTAAAGCCTAGTGGAGTTTACTTAAGAAACTAGACCTGGCCACCCAGCCCATGCTCACCGGCTCCTATCATTCACTCCCATTCATTTATCCATTCATTCAACAAACATCTATTGAGGGCCTATTACATGCTCGGTACTAATTTTTAGAACCTGATCTATGGCTTTTTATTCATCTTGCCTAACACTCCCTCTGACAAACCACGCAGACAACAGTATAGGAAATGTATATTTAATCATTCTCTTGAACTGGCAGAAAGCTAAAATCAAATTTCCTATAACAAAATGTAATATAGTCATGGTGGGTCCGAAGTCTCAGGGAGGCAGTGGTCAACACATGAAAAGTGTGGGAAGGAGGCTGGAAACAAAATATTTTTTCTATCAAAGCTTCATTCCTCAGGGCCTCGTTTCAAAGGTTCATTGCCCCTGCTTTCAGAAGTCTCTTTGTTTTTGAGGAAAGTACATGCTTTGTTGCCTTAATTTGAATTTTGACTAGGCAGGGTCCCGAGATCTAAATTCAGAGCGAGAGAACTTGAGATGGAACTCAGGCAGCTCTCTCACAGAACTTGATTTGTAGAGTAGAATGAAGGGAAAGGAAGTTAGAAGCTCAACCAGCTGAAGATAATCCTATCAGGAATTCCTGGTTGCCCTAAACTGAGTTCTGGCTTTCTGTGCTGAGGCAGCAGCCAAAGAGACAGAGGCTAATGCCTATTTTTAGGAAGCAAACAGGTTTGTTTGCTCTCCTCGTTTTAGGTCCTTTTCTTCTCTACATCAGGGTTTATTAATCTCAGCACAATTGACATTTGGGACTGGATAATCTTTGTTGTGGATGGTTGTCCTGTACATTGTAGGATGTTGAGCAGCATCCCTGGGTTCTATCCACTAGATGCCAGTAGCACCACCCCCCTCAAGTTACGACAACTAAAATCGTCTCCACACATTTCCAGATGTCCCCTGGGGTGGTGCAAAATCACCCCGGTTGAGTCCCTCTGTTCTAGATGCTGTTGAAAGCTGAGGTCATCATTGTCCATGCAGGATAGAAAATAGAAGCCTCAAACCTTGTGAGGACATAATGCCACAAACAATCAAGATGAGAGGTCCTTTCCTGGACTGTTCAAGGATGAACATCATCTGAGAAATAAAATGGCATTGTTTTAAAATGCTCAGATAATTTAGAAAAGCAGTGTCACTCAACTGTGTTTTTTTACGTTAAAATTATAATCATTTTCCACATTTCTTTAGCATTTGTCAGATGGGAGGAGATTCCAAGGCACTTTTGGAAGCATCATAATCATAATGAAAAGCAAATCATTTGACCCGTCACTAAAATGCAGCCACCTCTGAATTGTGAAATAGCAGCTGATTAGCAGCTTCTTACTGTATCCACTACAGTTTAATTTGTGAATTATAAAACATGGATATATTGCAATTGAAACTTTCTAGGAACTTCCTCAGAGCAACATTACAGCAATATAAAGATTCAGAGACAAGGGAGATGCAATATCCCATCCTCTCACTCCCTGGATGGGGATGGGTAAGGAGAGGTCCCTGAGATCTGGGGATACACTTGTCTTCACATGCATTTTACTTAGCAGTCTTAACACCCTTCTCTAGTTCAGATGAGTTCTTTTCTCAAGTTTTAATATATGTCTTTGAAGATAAATTTATCTTGTTCACATTGCAATCTTCTGTGGGTTGCTTTTGGCTTCTTTTGCTTCTTGATCTTACTTGTTCACTTGAGACTTGTACACATGAATTCATTTCCCCCCAGAAATATAAAACTGGGTCATAATCCTGTGGTGAAATAGTTTTGCAGATTCCAGTTTTGCAGATTCCTGGGATTCTGAAAATAACAGCAATAAGATACCATTACAACCATTCAGCAAACATTTATTGAGAACTGAAAGTCTCCCTGCCACTGTATGAGTGTATCTCTTTTTTAGAAACGGACTTGTTTTTCTGTATTTTGATGATGCTCTATCGAGGCCACATGGTACCATGTGTGGCTGGGGAAAAGGAGATGGCTTGAGTCTCTCCCTAAGGGAGGGGACCATCCTCAGAGCAAGCAGATGAGATTGGGCACGTTCAGAGTGGTATGGCTGTAGACTCGCAGAGTAAACAGGAACTGAGAGATGAACCGTGGGCAGGCTCCTGGGTAGAAGTAGAAAGATGGTTTCTGCCTGAGTTCCCAACCAGGGAATGTATGTGACCTAAAATGTCATTATCAGTTATAATGTGTGTCACAAGTAATGATCTATTTTATTAGTGATCATTAATAATAATGATCATTTATTTTAAAAAATTTATTTGATTTAAGGTTATCGCTCTATAGTTCTAGGGAGAAAAAGATGGAGCTGCAGCTAAATGGGTAACAGTATATAACGCTATGTGTACTGCGTGTGAACGTCATCGTTACATGTATGTCATGGCTTTTAAAAAAAGGCTGCAAATTACTGCTCTAAGGGAATACTAGATAAAGATGAATAAGCTATACTTTATAGGTCAGATGATCTAGTTGCAGGATATTAAAAACTCATTTACAGTGTTATGGGGAATCAAGGAAAGAAGAAAGGGTTCCTTCTTCTACTAACGAGATCCTTAAGGGATAGTTTCCTCCACTGACAACTGTTGAGGTTGGAAATGATGGGAACTGGCAGGTTTCCTTACAAAAAAATATATTTTTGCACTGCACAGTAGTAAGTGTTTAGAGAACAGGAAAAAGAATGAAAAGCAAATCAACAGATCTTTGCCTGCCCTTGAGGACTTAACAGTCGAGGAAAAGAATGTATGTGCCTTAGAGAGTGTAAGCTATCATAAATTATACATACATGCCCAGGGGATGTGAAATGAAAGGACCATCAGGAAAGGGGGCTATAAGCTAGGAAGCACTTTATTGAAATGGGTGAAGGAAATGTGGATCTGAATTGCCATAGAGTAGAGGAGATTTCCGGGAAGGGGCAGTGAGAGAGGGAGCAAGGCCAGACAACAGTAGTAGGTAGTTGAGAGAAGCAGGAAGCTCAGGGAGAGAAACTGTTAGAGAGCTATGACTGCGCAGCAGAGGATTTTAACTTTTAATATAGTGGTGTCCAAAGAGTCACTTCAGGTTCCACAGCAAAGGAATGCTGTGGTGAAAATAGTGTTTGAATCATTTTATTCTGGCACCTTGTTTCCTATCACCTGAAGTGGGGAGAGGAAGGAGCAAGTACAAAGTTTTAGAACTAGTCTGGGTGTGAGATGATGAAGGTTGGATTAGGGTCAATCTGAGAGACAACACAGGAAAATGCTGTAGGGCTTAGTAACAAATTGACATGAAGGACGGGGGGGACAAAAATAGCTCTAAGGTTGTGAGCCTGGACACATGGTGGTGATGCCACTGAGTAATGTGGTAGATCTTCATAAATAACAGTGAAATCCAGAGAGGGCTAAACATCTCTTTCTCTTCAATAAGATCTTTTTGCCTTCATAGGTATGAAAAGGTGTTTATATTTACACAAATATTTAAATTGCATAGAGTTGTTTTTCCTATAGGTCTGTCAATGAAGTCTATATGCTTTGTTAAGTTAACAAATGCTTACCTTTCAAAATACCAGTGGAAATAGTGCCAACTGCCCTGGCATTAAGTGTTTCTCTCTGAGGCTGATGCTAGAGGCTGCTGGACTCTTGTTAGCATACACAGAACGGATCCCCCACACCATTTGTGATTCAGCTCACCTGTCATACCAATGACTTTGCATGTTTCTGTGTGGCCAAGGCATATTATTTTGGCATCAGGTAAAGGGAGAGAGGCAGGAATATCCAGGTGATGGCAAAGAAAGAGGAGACACACAGGGAAGCCTTTGAGTTCAGCAGCTGTAGGTGACTCCGCCTTTTAATCTCAGAGTCTGTAAAGGGAGAGAAAACAGTTCAGGGTTATAGAGGAAAAGCTGGATATCTTCTTCATATGGCTTGTTAGCAAAGAAAAGTACCTGAAATACAGAGCAAGTTGTTCCTAATGCAACTTGTACCCCAATTTGGGGCCAATGTTGTACCTCATTCTCCACCTTACTGTCACTGGCTTAAAAGCAGAGCTTTCCCTTTCTTCAGAGGAAGTTCCATTCTGTGGTCCACTCCAGTGAGCACTCAGCCAAATGAATAACCATACCAATAAGAGATTGTTATTACTTACCAAATAAAGAAGAGGCTAAACAAACAGCCGTGGCCAGTCCTTGGTTTCAGACACATTTTTACCCGTAGGGAGTGACCTTTACGTGTACTGTGTCATTCACTTTTGTCATACTACTACAAATTGATGAGAAAGCAGTGTTCTCATTTTGAAGTAGAGAAATGTAGAAGTGAAGGAGTGAAATTACTCTTCTTTTACTCTATTCCCTCCCTAGCCAGTCCAGTCTCAACTCATTTCAGCTCTGACACCTACTAGTTGTGTGACTTTAGGCAAGTTGCTCAATCTGTACATGCCTCAGTTTCTTCATCTATAAAAAAGAGCTAAAATAATTATAATCTACTTCATAGGGTTCTTATGGGGATTAATAAGTTAATACATGTAAAGCACTTAGAACAGTGCCTGGCACAATAGTAAGCACTCAATAAGTATTATAAAAACAATAGTAACCTCACTCAAGCCTAATAAGCATTACTCCCATTAAACTGATCGTTTCCAAATCCACCTCCTTAGCCTGAACTCTGTCCTGAGTTCCACGTCTGGATTTACAGTTGCTACTGTATATGTCAGTTAAAAACATAATTATTCAGTAAATATTTTTGAGCACCTACTGTTGGGGTTCAAAGGACTCCGATAAATAACACCCTCTTCCCCAACTGAGTTCTCAACCAATTAAAGAGTAAGACAAAAAGTGAGGCAACTGGAAGACCAAAATATCACCTTTATTACTGATAAATTTGATAATAAAGGATGAAACTTTGTCTGCAGGCAAGTGGTCTGCAGCCCAGACTTCACCAGCGACAGGTGGCACCAGACTAGGGCAGGCTTCCTCCTGCAAGGGCAAGATTCTACCCCTGAAAAACTGATGGCTTGGAGGAGCAGAGTAGAATGTATACTTCCTGAGGGTTAGCTAGAGAGAAAAGGAAAAATAAGGAGCTGAGCTACTTGTGTTCAGCTTCTCCTACTAAACTCACCAATCAGATAAATTAATTCCTCCTTTTCTGGGGAGGAGTGAAAGAGAGGAGAAGAGAGAGGAGTGAAGGGTTACATTGGTGGGGATTCCTTCTTGTGGAAGGAAATACATGGAATAGGGATGAAGCATTCTCCGTAAAACTTATTGTATGCTGGGCAATGTGCTAAGCACTGGACATCTCTTCCTATGTACACAGTGGGCACTTTCAACTCAACATCTCTAAAACCCTCATCTTCTTTCCAAACATGTTGCTTCTCCTATGTTTTCATTTTTTGTTGGCAGCATTACTAACCTCCTAAACAACCTGGGTAGAAATATCAGACCCATTTTGACTTGTTCTTTCTCTTGTCTTTCACATTTGTGTCACCAAGTCCTGTAAATTATTTTCTTCATTAACTTTTGATTCTTTCCCCTTTTCTTCCCATGGCCACTGCCCCAGTTAAGGGCCTCATAATTTCTCCACTGGACCATTGACATAGGTTCCTGACTTCATACCTTTCTATTCTATCAAAACCATTCTTCTCCTTCAAAACGCAGCTTGAACTCTGTCTCATCTACTGAGCCACTACAGTCATAATTAACAACTTTTCCGCTAGGCACCATATCTACATGTGATTAACTTCTCTTATGACAATTGTGCTATTCATTTCAGTATTTCATGGGACTTAAAATTTGCTTTGGACCTATTTGGTGCACAATACATACGTGTTGAATGAATGACCAAAATTAGCAGTATAGTCATAGAACACAGGATATAAACACCCTGGCCTCATAAAATTGTTTAAAAATGTGTATAGAGTACCTACTTTGTGTATGGCAAGAAGGAATTATGTTATTTTCTTAATTTTGAGCTATATCCTGTTACCAAAAGTTGTATTTAGTCCTACTATTGATTAATGGAACACTTGTTCTGATGTATCCAATAAGCATGTATGGCAAAAGAATCTGCTCACTGAATAAAAGGTATGCTCAATCTCTTTGGTTTGTCCAGTTATTGCCCCTTCTATTAGAAGACACTGGTTATACAGGAGGCTTTTTATTGAGATCTGAACTGAGATACTGTTGTTAACACCTATTGTTTTAAATGCCCACTGCTTCATTCCCCCTTTCTCTTCTGGGAAGGCCTTCCATTAGGTACCACCTCATTAGTCTAGGTGTGGGCAACTGACCCAAGTTGAGCCTTTCTGGGAATGTAGAATATGAGTGAGGGATTGAGGTTCAGTCTGGTTACTCTCTTGAGTGAAAGAGACTTTTAAAGGTAGGAGTTCTTGGTAACCACATTCTGCCCTATAGACTGAAACAAGAGAGTAAATAAGAGAGTAAATAGAGAATGAAGAAGAAATGAGAAACAGAGAATCCCAATGGAATTTAAGTTCCTGGTTTCAGCTATTCCTGAAGCTAAATTGCACTTTCTGTCCTTGGTTCCACAAGACATCCTAATACTCTTTTAATAAATACCCCTTTTAGCTCAGGCTTATTTGAGTTGGTTTTCTGTTACAGGTAACTAAGATCATTCTAACCAGTACAGTCACCAATTTGTTCCTCAGGATGGTGGAAGAACTCTCTCTTTCCATATGTATAATTTATTTTATTTTATATATTTATTTATCTATATGTATCTTTATTTATTTTTTTGGTGAGGAAGATTAGCCCTGAGCTAATCTCCACTGCCAACCCTCCTCCTTTTCCTGAGGAAGATTGGCCCTGGGCTAACATCCATGCCCATCTTCCTCTACTTTATATGTGGGTCACCTGCCACAGCATGGCTTGATAAGTGGTGTGTAGGTCTGTGCCCAGGATCTGAACCTGCGAACCCTGGGCTGCCGAAGCGGAGCATGTGAACTTAACCACTACGCCACTGGGCAGGCCCCTATAATTTTTTTTTAAATTAGATACTTTTTTTTTTATTGTGGTAAAAAACACATACCATAAAATTTATCATCTTAACCATTTTTCAGTGTATAGTTCAGTAGTGTTAAGTATATTCACATTGTTGTGAAACAGATCTCCAAAACTTTTTCATCTTGCAAATCTCAAACTCTATATCCATTAAACAACAACTCCCCTTCCTTCTCCCTCCCACTTAGCTGCTGGTAACCACCATTCTACTTTCTGTTTCTATGAATTTGACTACTTTAGATACCTCACATAAGTGGAATTATGTAGTATTTGTCTTTCCATGACTGGCTTATTTCACTTAGCATAATATCCTGAAGGTTCATCCATGTTGTAGCATGTAAAAAGATTTCCTTCCTTTATAAGGCTGAATAATATTCCATCATATATATATATATGTATACCACATTTTGTTTATCCATTCATCTGTTGATAGACATTTGGGATTGCTTCTACCTTTTGGCTATTATGAATAATGTTGCTATGAACGTGAGTGTGTGTATATCAATTTGAGACCCTGCTTTCGATTCTTTTGGATATATACACAGAAATAGGATTGCTGGATCATATAGTAGTTCTATTATAATTTTTTGAAGAACTTCCATACTGTTTTCCATAGCAGTTGCACCATTTTACACTTTCACCAATGTGCACGAGGGTTCCAATTTCTCCACATCCTCACCAACACTGTTTTTTTTGATAGGAGCCATCCTAATGGCTTTGAGGTGATATTGTGTTTTTGATTTGCATTTCTCTGATGATTAGTGATGTTGAGCATCTTTTCATGTGTTTGTTGGCCATTCGTATATCTTCTTCAGGGAAATGTCTATTGAATTCATCTGCCCATTTTTTAATTGGGTTATTTGATTTTTTTGTTGTTGAGTTTTAGAAGTTCTTTATGTACTCTGGATATTAACATCTTATCAGATAAATGATCTGCAAATATTTTCTCCCATTTCATTGCCTTTTCATATATATAATTTTAAATAAAAAATAAGCCAATGAAAATATTTATTCAGTTAAATTCAGCAAACATATATAGGGTACTTACAATGTGCAAGGTATTCTGCCTGGTACTAGAGTTGATTTGACAGCAGTTTTCTTGACATACCCCTTTCTCTCCAGTTTGAATTCAATTTAGCCCCAGGAGGGATGGTCTTAAAAGTCATAATTCAGTCTGTGTATTTTCTTGACACTAGCTCAACTGTAGGTTTTGTATGCACTAAAGCACTGCAGGGAGACTAGGGTGCCAGTTCAATCTAGAGCTTTCAGGTTAATCCTGGACTAATATTAGTGGGTTCATGAGCCGGTCCCAGAAGGCTTGAATAAGACAAAGTCAGACTTTAAAACCTTTAGTCTTCAAATTGAAAGCCTTCTCAAAGGCGGGCTAGAACCAAACTAGTTTTGGGGGGCTTGGGATTTAGATCATCAGCTGAATATATCAAAGATGTCAAATAATTATCACTTCCCCGCTGCTTCATCAAAGCAGTCCTCCTGAGTTAGACAGGGCACAGAGTCCTAAACATTGCTTTCTAGGCAACCACTCCCTATCAATGAGAAGGCATACAAAATGAAGCCTAATTGCCATCTTTGACCTATATGCCATAAATATTGTTTTGTGTTAGTCTTCTCCTTACATAATGTAATCCCAACTGGAATTGTCATCAAGCTCTCAAGGACTCTAGAGCTTTCTGTGCCCTGGTACATAATATATCTGATAAAGAAATTAGATTTTAATTTAGATTTGATTCTCACTCTAATAAACCCATACAAAAAGGTAGAGGAACTCACCTGTCACTTTGATATCCCCTGTGGCTTTGGCAATGTTGTTCTCAATCATACAGGAGTATGTGTTGTTGATCGTGACATTGTAGAGTACAGACACAACCTTCATGGTCACATTCTCAGAGTTCAGCTCAAAGCTGGTGTTGGAGACTTCTGAGAAGTTGGCTCCCTGGTCAACTTGGGATGCCCAGACCACTGTAGGCTGGGGGAACCATCGGGGAGCCTCACATCGTAAGCTCTCTGAGCTGGCATTATAATTCACATTCACCTCTGGGATGCTGAAGGCTGCAGAGTTGAAGGTCAAAAGGGGCAGATGTCAAGGTCAGACAGATAAGCCAACGTAGACATTGAAGTGCTAGGTCTTAAAAACAGTCATTTCCACCAATGAAGTGACTCAGTACTTCCCCGGTGGGCTGTCCATGTATGGCCCATTGTATTGTAGAAGCAAATAATGATTTGCCTGTAGTATTGCTATACATCACCACCCTTTGGCCAATATCACAAACTCTAAGGACCTAAGTTCTAGGTATAATTGTTACAACAGATGAATTTCTCTGAGTAAGAGGAGTTCCAGGGATCACAAAAAAGTTTATCCCTTAGGGAAATTGAGCATTTTCCCAGGCGCCTGTGGAGCCTCCTGGATTTTATGTATTTTTCTGCCTGGAGGATCAAGTTAGGGTGGGGAGGGAGAGGGAGGAGGAAGAAACAAACAGCATTCACATGTCAACCACAGAAATTCCATACCCAGGCCTTTGTCATCATGGGGATTTGGAGTTTGCTTGGGTGGAGACTGCCCAGCCCTGGTATTCAGGGATAGAGACTGGTATTTGTTTTGTTCTAAAATGATTCTCCTCACTGGAGAGGTCACTGCATTTTGAAAGACTAGATTCCTCCTCTATCTAGACAGAGAGACACTTGTGGAAAAATGTTAAGGCCTGGACTTTTGACTGTAAAATGCTTATTATGCCAAAATGGCAAGATACAATTTATTAATTTATTTAGCATCTTCCTTTTCCTGGGACTGTGCTGGTGCTGAGTGAGTGGTGAAAGGAAAGCCCTTGCTTTGTCCTTAAAGAGCCTGCTGTCTGGCAGGGGAGATGAGACTCGCTTGGAGCAAGCAGGAAACAACTCCTGGGAGGTGATGTGGGAAACTGCATGCACATCACAATGATCCACCATTTATTGAGGATGTACCCTGTGCCAGGTACCGGATTCCAGACATTATTTCATTTGCTCCTCACAATAGTACTTGGGATATCTGCTATTATTCCCCATTTTTAAAAATAAGCTTTTAATTTTTGAATAATTTTACATTTACAGAAAAGTTGCAGAGATGGTACAGAGATTTCTTGTATACTCCTCATCCAGTCTCCCCTAATATTAACATCTTAAATAACCATGGTGCATTTATCAAAATTGAGAAACCATCATTGGTACATTACTATTAACTAAACTCCAGACTTTATTTATATTTTACCAGTTTTTCCACTAATGTCCTTTTTCTTTCCCAGGATCCTATCCAAAATACCACATTGCATTTATTTGTCATGTCTTCTTAGGTTCCTCTGGTCTGTGACAGTTTCTCAATCTTTCCATGTTTTTCATGATCTTGACAATTTTGAGGAGTACTGGTCAGGTATTTTGTAGGATGCCCCTCTCTTGGAATTTGTCTGATGTTTTCCTCATGATTAGACTGAGGTTGTGGGTTTTGCAGAGGAAGAAGACTGTAGGACGTAAAGTGCCCTTCTCATCATATCACACAAGAGAGTGCATGCTATCAACATGACTTATCACTGATAATGTTAACTTTGATCACCTGGCTGAGCCAGTGTTTGCCAGGTTTCTTTGGAAGCTGGACTTCACTAAGCCTAACACACCCTGAGTGTGGTGGTGGTGGGGAAGTACTAAGCTCCACCGCCTGGAGGGGGAGGGCCTAAATACATTATTTGGAATTCATCTGTAAAGATTTGTTTCATCTCCCTCATATTTAAGTAAGTATGGACTCAACATACTTAGAGTTACAATTTAATGCTATATTGTTTATTTTTTTGTTCAAATTGTTCCAGCTTTGCCATTGGAAGCCCTTTCGGTTGGCTCCAGTGTCCCTTTGACATGACTCTATTAATCCCCATTTTAAGATGAAGAAATTGAGGCTCAGCATGGTTGCCTTGCCCAGGCCACTGTACTTGCCTAGGTCCGGCTCTAGATCTGTCTTCAAACCATTACATACACATGTTATGAGTTAGCCAAGAAAGGCCTGCACACACTAGCTTCGGCTAGGAGGCCTCAGGATATTTTCTGCCTGTCCTTCAAGCTCCTCTCCACTGCCAGAGTCTCCACAGGGGCTTTCTAATCGCTTTCCCCTCTATGCATTTGGATGTGATCTCTCTCTTCCTCTGAATCCCCAAATCACTCTATTTATATTTCTTGTAAAGAATTTGATACACTTTACCAATTATTATAGATATTTACATATTTTTCTTATTCCTGCCCCAACCGTCAACTCTATAAGCTCTAACTCTTTGAACTCTGCAAGAGGAGGGACAATCATCTTTGTTTTCTTAATCATCTTTTTACTCTTCAGTATCTCTCTGACTCCCTTGTACATAAATTCAGAAAATGTGTTAAATTGAGTTGGTAAGGAAGGATGGATTTCATTGGGGGAGAATTAGTGAGTTTATAGGACAATATTGTTTTGATAAATTCCCTTTTTAACTTCTCCTAAAATGGGTTCTGTTGTCATAAGTCCCTGGAGGTACTGATTGCAGACTTGGGCTAGGGCCTACTTAGGACAGAAAAGTCTCAGGCCTTATTACAGGCTTCTTTTACTAGCAATACCAGAGGCTACCATAAAAGAGACTACATTTATTTTGGCAAAATATTTCAGGGAATATACCTGAACATTCAGAAGAGACTAGAGTCCAGAACAAAAGATTTTAAGACCTAATATTGTATATAGTGGGCTACTTTTGGAGATGGTGTGGGTCTTGGACAGCAAGGATGGCTGCTAGCAGAATTTGGAGGGTCTTTGTCTGATACTAGTTCCTCATGAACATAAGATGATATTTCATCAGCAATCCATGCTTTTAGCCTCAAATATCTTTTGGCGCTTTCTTTCCCTCTCTTCAAAATAACTCACCTCCGGTTTTGTACTCAAGGTTAGCATTCCCCTTGCCTTTAGAAGTGATGATGTAACATTTGTAGGTGCCAGCATCTGCGAGTTGCACGTTTTTTAGCCTCAGAGAGGCATTGCCAACTATTACTTGATCAGCAAACACTGCTGTCCGGCCTCTGAACATTTCGTCCTGGTCTGACAGGTCATCTTTGCCTTCTTTGAACTCATGGACCAAGCCCATAACACCTTCCTTCAGCCACTGTATCACAATATCAGAAAGTTTGATGTCAGGTTCAAAAGTGCAGCTCAGGATTCCATCCTCTCCGATGTTCCCAGCTGAGGTGAGAGTAGTGACTGTGATAAAGTATCTCCCTGCAATTCAGGAAGCAAGGGTCAATGCCAAGGAAAGCTCTGGAACTTGTACAACCAACTCTTCATTACTAAAAGCCAAACTTCTTTATGGAGCCTTCTGTAATAAATTAGAAATATAGAAGAAAAGGAGAGGCATAAATAAGGAAGACATAAGGGGCCGGCCCAGTGGCGTAGTGGTTAAGTGCACGTGCTCCGCTTCGGTGGCCCAGGGTTTGCAGGTTCGGATCCCGGGTGCGGACTGATGCTGCTTGTCAAGCCATGCTGTGGTGGTGTCCCATATAAAGTAGAGGAAGATGGGCATGGATGTTAGCTCAGGGCTAATCTTCCTCACACACACACAAAAAGAAGATGTAAAAAGAATAGAAAGAACAGGAAGATGATAGTCTTGATATCTACAGCAGATCTGCCATACATGATAGCTTTTTGAGACCAAGCAACCCAAACCTTGAGAGGCAGCAAGAGGAGAACATATTAAACTTGGAATTTTTTTTTGTGTGTGTGAGGAAGACCAGCCCTGGTCTTCTATGCCCACATCTATGCCCATCTTCCTCTACTTTATATGGGACGCCGCCGCAGCATGACTTAACAAGCGGTGCGTCGGTGCGCGCCCAGGATCCGAACTGGCGGACCCCGGGCCCCTGCAGCAGAGGCGTGCACTTAACCACTTGTGCCACCGGGCTGGCCCCTGGACTTGGAATTTGAAGATGAGATTTCAAGTCCTAGCTTTGTCTCTTAATAGCCGTGTGACCTTGAATAAGTCATGTAACCTCTCTGGATCTCGGAAAAATGGAGGTAATGATATCTGTCTTATCTAACTTAAAGGGTTCTTGTGAGGATCAAAGAACCTCAAAGAACCTTGATTTGCAAACTGTAATTACACATTGTTATAAGGTATGGTTATTCTCAGTTAATCAGAAGTGGCACAGAGTGAAATCTCATGTTAACTAAATGTGGCTAGTAATTCTGAAGAATGCTAAATTCTAAAGTGCTGTTACTTTTATCTCTATTTGAATGATGAAGAAACTAAGGCATAGAGAAGATAAGTGACTTGGTCAAGGTTATAGTGCTAGCTATAGCATAATGAAGAATGGTACTTAATTAAATTGATTTTTGGCCTAAGATAGAAGCCACCTCCACCTCTCCAAACATACCACCAGTAGAAATATTAATTATGGTGCCAGCCATGTCCACTGCCTCTTCCCCACTTGCCCAATAGATAGCCCACTCGGTCAGTGAAGGATTGACCAGCTGTTCTTTTCACACTGGAGGCTGCTGACTGGGGAGGCCTATAGGGGTGATTTAATTAACTAAGTCTTCTTGAGAAGCGCCTTCTGTGGTTTGGATGTGAAGCTAAGGAGAGGATGGTTCTTTGAGCCCAAGAGGAGAGCAGAGCAGACACAAAGAAGTGTGGAGCAGAGACCGTGACAGAGAAAGATGAAGAGAGCCTCGCATCCCTAGAGCTGTTTTAGATCCTGAGAGTTTTCAGGTCTAGTTCCTGTTCCAATCTCTGAGTATCCTTTAAATAAATACCTTATATTAAAATGGTCTGCACAAACTTCTCTTTCTTATAGCCAAAAAAGTCCAACACGATGGAGCACTTTTCAACTGGACTTCTTAGCTTCCTTGTTGAATACCTGCCTCTCATCCTTACCTCCATCTTATCTATTTTTACACGCATTAATCTTATAGGTAGACCTTAAAGTACAATCTAAACATGTCAGTTTTCTAATCACTAATCTTCCATGGCTCCCAAAGGGTATGGAGAAAAGTTTAGACTAACCAGCATGGCCTTCAAAGCTAAATACTGCATGGCACATAGGAAATGCCCCATAGATATTAGCTCTTATTGCTACCTTTTCAGCCTCATTTCCCACTGCATCTTTTCATGGTCTATACTGTCTATGTATATCAAGTGATTTACTGATTTTCTGCTTTCAAGGGAAAAATACCTAAGCAAAGCATACTTGCTATTTTTAAAATATAAGAGGTAGACATTATGAACATAAGGATATCCTTGGCATCTTGCCTCTTCCAGCCTATAAGGGATTGGAACTGCCCAACTGGCTCCTAGGCCTTTATAAAGTAGATGAAGGTTATGGACAAAGGACAAAACTGAAGAAGCTAAGCTAGATGGATTTATATTAGAAAGAACAGAGATCTATGGATGGAAGAAAAATTATAGGGAAAAAAGTGGCAGAGAAAACAAAGACGTACACAGGCTGGGTTTGGAGAATGTTTTGGAGGCTTTGGAGTGTGGGAGGAAAGAGACTTTGGAGCAGTTGCTATGCATGGCTATTCGTGTGGGAGATTTTGGAGAGAAATTATTAAAGAGAACAGTGTAAAATTTTGCCATGTAATATGAATGCAACATACCCCATCCCCTGCCATGGCATTTTCTTGAACACTGCTTTAAAGATTTAATTTGCTTTTAAATTATTTTTACTGGAGAGACTGATATCCAAGACATCCCAGGCTAGTACTCGTTATACAATTATACTATGCATCTTCACACCCCTGTTCATCTTGCACCCACAATTTATAGTTCCTTCCTCTCCTTTATCAGCAGTTATCCAAATTCTACTTATATTCAAGGCTGTTCAGATGGCAGCCCTCGCATGAAACCCTCTTTTGATCTGCCAAGACAAAATCAATAGGGTCTCTCTTTACTCTCCCTTAACACTTGCCTTTGCCTTTATTATAGCAGCTGTCTCCCTCTACCTTGTCTCTAGTCTATCTCTGGCACTAATTTGTAAGGTTTTCAAGGGCAGAAACTGTCTTAATCGTATGTGTTTAAGTCTTATAATGCTGTGTTCTTAATTTTGTGTGTCAACATGACTGGGCCACAGGGTGCCCAGAAATTTGGCCAAACATTCTGGGTGTGTCTGTGAAGATGTTTCTGGATGAGATTAATATCTGAATCAGTAAACTGAGTAAAACAGATCACCCTCCCTAATGTGAGTGGGCCTCATCCCATCGATTGAAGACCTGAATAGAACAGAAAGGCTGAGTAAGAGGAACTCCTGCTGCCTGACTGCTCTGAGCTGGGACATCAGTCTTTTCCTGCCTGCAAACTTGAACTGAAATATTGTCTCTTCTTGGGTCTTGAGCCTGCCAGCTTTCAGACACTATTGGCCCTCCTGGTTCTGAAGCCTTCCGACTCAGCTTGCTGGAACTAAACCATCTGGGTCTTCAGCTTGCTGACTGTAGATCTTGGGACTTCTCAGCCTCCATAATCATGTGAGCCAATTCTTTCTAAATCTCTCTCTCTGCATACACACACACATTTTATTCGTTCTGTTTTTCTGGAAAACCCTGACCAACAGAAATTTTGGTACCAAGAAATGGGGTACTGCTGTAATAAATACCTAAGCATGTGGAGGAAGCTTTGCAACTGGGTAATGGGTAGAGGCTGAAAGTGTTTCGAGGTGCATGCTAGAAATATGGATGTTAAGGACGATTCTGGTGGGATCGCAGATGGAAATGAGGAATATGTTATTGGAAATTGGAGGAAAGGCAATCCTTGTTATAAAGTGGCAAAGAACTTGGCTGAACTGTGTTCTAGTGTTTTGTGGAATGTTGAACTTGTGAGTGATGGAACTGGATATTTAGCTGAGGAGATTTCTAAGCAAAGTGTTGAAAGAGCAGCATGGTTGCTCCTGACTGCCTATAGTGAAATACGAGAAAGGAGAGAGATGAATTGAAGAAGGAATTGTTAAGTAAAAAGGAACCATAACTTAAAGATTTGGAAAATTCTCAGCCTATCTATATTGCAAAAAATGAGAAAGCTATTCTGAAGAGACCACTAAGGGTGTGGGTGAACAACCATTTGATAAGGAGATCTCAGGTGTGACTTAGGAGCTTAATCAGCCACCTGAGTAGAAGCCAGGAATAGAGATGGGGTTATACCAGCAGAAACACTGAAATCTGGGGACAGAAAAACTAAAGGCGATAGAAAAAATGAAGGAAGGCTGGCAGACTTCTTAGATCCTAACAGACTGGACCATAGAGTTAATCAGCTATGAGCACTTGCTATTCTTCCAGAAAAGGGAAGAATAACCCCAAAGGGGATTCAGAGAACATCAGGGCTGGCTCCTTGGTTTCAAAGGGTGAGGCTATTGCCTCTGTTTCAATAGGCCAGAGGCCCCACTTAGAGATGGGGCCACCTGGAGCCTGGGGGGACTTCCCAGTCTCTAGAACTGTGAGAAAATACATTTCTGTTGCTTAAGCTGCCCAATCTAAGATATTTTGTTATGGCAGCCTGAGCAGACTAAGACAAGTGCCTAGTGCTGTGCTTCTACAGAGGAAAATAATATTTGTTGAGCAAATGAATAAATGAATGAATGAATGGGAATCAGTAGAAATCAAGGCACTGTTTGAGATAATGGTTCTATCCAAAATGATTGTAGGAGAAAGGAACATTTGGCAGGATTACCGCATCTAAATTTTGGACAAATGTGAGCCTGTGAAAAAGAAGGCAATGAAAATACACAGAGATTCTCAATAAAATCGTGGGGGAAATGTAGAGATGTTAGAGCAAGGGTAAATTTGATTGTAGCTTATAAAGTGCCATTAAAGTTGAATTGAAAAATTATTTTTCAGAAAAAATACATGATTAGCACAGTTTATGGAGAGAATGAAATGGTAATGACATATCTTAGTTCAGTAATTGTGCTACCGAATTAATTTTAATGTGTTGGCCTTGAGCCCACAGGTGGAGAATTTGTTGAAATATCTCTTAGAGAACTTAATGATTAAAAGTAGGCAGCTGTGGAGTGCCCCAGGGACCTGCTGCAGGCTCTAACCCATTTAAGGTTGCCTTAAAGATGTGGCAGATGGAAGGAGTATAATGTTGATTAAATCCCCCCTCCCTATATCAAATTAAGAGGAGAAATAAAGGCCAGTGAGAACTTAAAAAAACCCTAGGGATCTAATCATTGCTTTGCACCCAGAAAGCAATCAATAAATTCTTATTTGTTGGATGAATAAATGACGGTTAGAAG